ATATTTGCAGACTTTAGTACTTAAACCTTCAGATTTTGCTTCACTGTTGTTGTTTTCCTATCAAATGCATTGGGAACCCACATTTACATCTATAGCATACAAGTGATTCACTACAGCATAAAGTTGTTTGAAATTCTAGTGTGAACTCGTGACCAGCAGGGCACACCAAGTTACGTGTGAGAACAACCATTTGCTGATGACATTGGCTGTCGATTGCTCTGTATACTGCGGTTTCAGTAATTTGAAAATTCCGCTCTCCAAGTTAGATAATTAGGACACGATAGATAAGCGGTCTTCAGCTCTATATACTAATTCATATGCAAGTTCTCAAGTGTTGCTTTCCAGGGATTTCACTGATTTCAAAAGTGATCACAAACCGACTTCAGTTAGAAGACCATTGAAAATCAGGGAGTACTGTACTGTACAGTTATATTGTTCTAGTTTAGAACTCTTCATCAGTACGTGCTCACGATCCCACCCGTAAGGATCGAACCCAGAAACCAGGTAACGAAGGCGATTTCGTATACCATTGATTATCCAATGACCCATTAATTCTAACTTTTGCCAGTTCAAGATATTTAGTAAAAACAGTAAATTGAGCTGAGAAATAGGTTCATTTTCAATTAGTTCCTCATCACCAGCTCTAAACTAATATATAGTTTCTAGACCAAAACTATAGCAATCATGTGGTTATTCGAGTCAAAAGATTAGTCTGTTTACTCTCTCGGGTCCACAAGACTAGTTATTTATTCTTATGAAACACTCAACGAAGAACGCAGTAATAGTCGTGATCTTCTAAGTGGGAAAGGATATCCGACAAAATTTTGCGGTAAACACATGGATTTACAAAGTAAACAGACCAGAGTGCCTACAGTTTCGGGAAAAATCAGTGTTTCTAAGACTGCACTTTACTGGAGACGTTAATGATGAAATTTCATCACAACGCCTGAGAAGAGATTTCCAAAGGACTCTTAACGCAGCTAGTTTATACTGTTCACATAATAACCGTCCAATACTCAACTCAGGAAATAAAGACAAACTGTTTTGTTCCGCCCCTTCCGTGTGTATTTACCAGTTTAACTGCTCGTGCCAAGCTAGTTATAATAGCCGTACAATGAGACAAGTTTTCTGAACACCTCCTATCTTTGTTTGGCAAAGGTCAGAATAAAGCTATACGCAGCTCAATAGTAGCTTATCTCGTCGATAGAAAATATCAAGTTGACACTAACAAAGTAATTTATCCAGCTTTTAGCATGCTCTGCGAGTACTACTTTTACATACAACAAAAGAAGTTGGAATTCATCTAGACAAGCGGAATCTATATGTTCAAAAGAAATTTTTGCAGCCTCTTCCTTTGCCGTGGTCAGCTACATAATATTACCTAAGTTTTACAAACGATTTCCACTCTCCCCCCCTGTAACCATCTTTTGACTTTGTCGCTTCATTAAATGATTACAATTTTAGCCAATTCCGTTTAGTTGTTTGTATCTTAGTATTCTTACTCAATTCTGCTTAGTGCTCATTATTTTACATATTGATTGTGCAATAACTTACTGTTAACCCTTACGAATTAACTGATCTTGAATTCTTTAAGTATTTCACCGCTCACTCAAAATTTGGATATCTTGTCGGCAACATCTACTAGTTAATTGTTTTGATGATTTTTAATCTCTTATTTTTATCCTCCCATATCTACAACTGATAATTCTTATGGACTAAATTAACCACATGATTGCTATAGTTTTGGTCTAGAAACTATATATTAGTTTAGAGCTGGTGATGAGGAACTAATTGAAAATGAACCTATTTCTCAGCTCAATTTACTGTTTTTACTAAATATCTTGAACTGGCAAAAGTTAGAATTAATGGGTCATTGGATAATCAATGGTATACGAAATCGCCTTCGTTACCTGGTTTCTGGGTTCGATCCTTACGGGTGGGATCGTGAGCACGTACTGATGAAGAGTTCTAAACTAGAACAATATAACTGTACAGTACAGTACTCCCTGATTTTCAATGGTCTTCTAACTGAAGTCGGTTTGTGATCACTTTTGAAATCAGTGAAATCCCTGGAAAGCAACACTTGAGAACTTGCATATGAATTAGTATATAGAGCTGAAGACCGCTTATCTATCGTGTCCTAATTATCTAACTTGGAGAGCTTCTTTATATGGCGTAAATTAAAGCATATACTTACTTCTTATTGTGGCTTTTTTCAAAGATGATACCAACATTTTGTTTAGATTTATTCAACTTTATAGGAATAGCTAAATAAATAAAATAAATAATATATCTATTCTAATTCACGTGATTCAAACATATAAAGTGGTCTGATTGCATAGAATTATCAGGTAACATCGATCTTCTCCTCTTTCTCCTCCCTCATTTCATCTTTATAATTATTTATTTAAAGACTGATGAATTAACTTCTTTAATTTAATTGACACGTTTTTGTCTAGTCGGATTACACAGCTGATAATAATAATAATAATAATCGGTGGAGACGATATTTCTTAATCAGTCAGTTGGTCAACTTGTTTACTGATATCATAACACAATGCGTCGTGAATTCGAGTTAGAAATTGCACATTTTTTTGTCCTGCTTTTGAGGAGTCCCTTCTCATACATGAATAACAAAACTACCTAATGTATGTGTATGCTTGACACAATCTTCTTTCACGTGCCAAAAAACACACAGAATTGTGCTATATTTGTGACAAACTATACGTTCATTGCATAATATGACCTTTGACTCATTGTAGGTTCTGTCAGATAATCATCGTTAATTGAAAATGAAAATAGATCAAATGACTGTCAATTTAATAAATAGTTAATATGCCTAGTGGTTGATTATTTTGATAAGTCAGTTTTCTCTCTCCTTTCTTTTTTGTGCTTCGTCCCCTTCCCTTTCTCTTAAAAAAAACACACAAAAATCTCTGGGCGAAATTCTCACTTCTGGTTTGTTCGCATGTCGGCTGAAAACTGTATTGTGTGTGTTTACACCTTTTTTCCCCTCCCCCGCAAAAAATCAATGTGAATTGCTCATAATGTTAAATGGATGGTAAATGAATATGTGATGGTAATAACCATTGGTGTCATGTTGCTTCAGACTTGCCAGTCGTTTGCTAGCATTGTGTTTGATCGACCTCGTCGGTTGTATTAAGCGGTCTTTTATACAAATCCCTTTGTTCTTTCTTATCCCCTTTCCTTTTTCTTTTATTCATTCTCCTCCTATTATATCACCTTCTCAGTCTAACTAATATCCTTCATTCATTCATGTATTTAAGCATTCGCATATTATTTCTCTCTATTCTTGTCTGCCATTACAAATTTGGTAATGTTGTGATGGTATGTGTATCATTTCTAATGAACAATAAATTAGCGCCTTGGCTATTTTCATTACCCTCATTTAATCTGTATGCATTTTTATTGTCTTTTGTGAGTAGAGATAGGATTGGCTATTTGATACAAATTTATCATTTTCTTTCATCGCTTCTCTATTCTTTATTTATTTATTTGTTTTTTGCATGTGAATGACATATAGTCGTTTATTATATTTGTTAATTAACTTTAGGTTGCATTCTCTGTATTTCTCCTCCACTGATTTCATTCCTCTACACACACACACACACACACTTCACAGAGTATGACTGTTCCTTTAGAACTAACTACCTGTGTATCATTAACTCACTTTCAAAATGATTCTATGCTTGAAATATCCCTCTGTTTTCATATTAGGCACTAACGTGTGACCCACCACCACTACGAACACGATCATCACGGTCAATATTGCCATTAATGATGCACATCAATACCAGTAAAAGTTATATTAGTTGCTAATATACTACGCAGACTGACTATGAAGTCCATTCATTATTATTTACTTATTTTATATATACAATTACATCATTTTATTGAAATTATATTACCGACAGCAATAATAATAATACGGTTAGTGTATTCGCTATAGTTTTCTTATCGATGAAGAGACTTTATGGTTTTCTGTTTGCTTTCCATCTCCTCTTTCTTTCTCCGTTTAAATAAAGGCTTTCACACGTGATTTCTGGGTAATATAAAAGTAAATAAATAAATAGAAAATCACATATATTGATAAATTTCTTCATTGCCGTTCTCTTTCCTAAGATGGTTGGATATTTCGAAAAGTATGTGTTCATATACACTTGCTTAGGTCTATACTATTTGCAAAGTATTTAAGTTGTGGAGAATAGATACACCATAGACATTTATCCTCTAGAGGATAGTTTATCAATGAAATTTCGATAGATGGCAGGTGTAGTTAACGGTCATATGAAATATTTATTTGTCTTATACTTCTTATCTCTTATTTATTATTGTGTATTTGTTTTATTTTGCTTATTTTATATTATTAATCTGTAATTTGCATGCTCTGATGATAGCTTGCTTTTTTGCGTGCCTTTTTTCTCTTCTTTCTGAATATCTTTATCCTGTGACGCGCGTGTACTGCCCCGCTCTGATGCACGTGGTCTTGCGTTCTGCAATAATCTGAATATGTGTATTTATTATACACGTGTGTATATGTGTATACACATCACATAATGCGCACGCATCTATCATACATACACAAAAATATTCTAATTCACATCCAATATGTTGATATTGTCTGTTGGTTTATTCATTCACAATTGTTGCCATTCCACCTTGATTACTACCGCTAATCCATATGAATGAATATAAACATATCAACGTACAATAATGCTGATTATTATAACAATGTCTTCCATATCTTCGTTGCTTTTTCATCATTGGGTACATTCATAATACTACTACTACTACTACTGCTGTGGCTACTACGAAAATTCCTGTGAATTTCATAATATATCTATATATTTAATGGTATTCTGGATCACCTGCCGGTGTACAATATTATCAACGTTCAATATATTGGTGTACTACTCTAAATTATCTCTGGCTCACCGGAATTTACCTCATATTTATTTACCCAAACATCCTCAATAAAGGTGGAATTATTAACATTGTGCCGAGATGTTGCTGTTGATATGCGTAGTGTATTTCTTTCAGCTGGTAAAGTTCAAGGACGTCCATCTATAGATCCTGTCTACGATGAGGTTAGATCAAACGCTCAAGTAAGTTGCATTTCTTCCTTTTTATTACTTTTAATTAGTTATCTTCTCGTATGTGTTAGAGTGACTTATTATTATTATTTATTAGTTAAAATCAGAACGCTAGATTGTTTCATGTGGATTTTGTTTATTTTAACACCATATACAATATACTAATATTATTTATTGGAATTTGATGAATTTTTTTATGTTTGGACTGGTTTGAAACATACAATTATTTGTGCGTAACTATCATATTATCTGTGTGCGTCGGTGGCACAGCAGTAGAATGCTCGCCAACTACGCATGTGGGTTCGATCCCCAGTCGACACACTGCTTTACCTCGCTGAACCAGTGATAAGACTGGTAAAGAGGGAAGGTTGGACATGAGGCCTAGCAACTCCATCCCGCAAAAATAAACACCACTACTACAGAAACTTCAAGTCTTTAGCTTAAAGGCGCCCTATGTTCCACTGGGGAACGTAAAGGAAAAAAACTAGTAATTCAGACGACTCACAGAATAGCATTCAGATGTCTATCTCTATCTTTCTAACCTAGAAAGAAAGAGATAACTATTTAATTGCAATGATAATAATTCGAAATACTATCATGAATACCAATCATCCAGCAGTATGGGCCAAGTAGTGAGCGTTTATCAGTGTGTTGGGGAATCTGATTGCAAGTTTATCTGACTAACTAACAGACAGATGGTATTTTTACAGTTTGAATCCTGATTGATAGACTACTGAATTAGGTTGTAATTGCACATGATACCCATTCCCCTTTAAAAAGACCTATGATCAGTGACGTGCTCAATTTGGATCAATCTGGAACTGTAACATTCATAGATTTTCAATGGTTCTCTAAGTAATATTAATCTGTAATCAAAATTGAGCGGTTTGATCAACATATGCTCTTTTTCTCTTTTAAACAGTGTTGTGTTAATTATTTCTTTTTATAACTAGGTGGTCGTTTCTAATGTTGGTCAACTTCTTCAAACTCTTAAATCAATAGAAGAAGATGAACGACGTGGAATACGATCACTTGAACTTGCTGCTAAATATTGCCGTGAACAAGCTAAACTTCTTCCATCATCTAAAGATCCAGAAGGTATACTTACACCAGTTAGTTCACGTAAATCAACAGCAGCCAGTGCGCACAGTGTTTCAGTTGCTAGTGGTTCATCTAGTTTAATTGCACGTTATTTAGCTCCAGATGATTTAGCTCGTGCAGCTGGTGGACCTGTACAATCAGCAGTTTCAAAAGCGATTTTAGCTAACAATACACAAACACGACGAGATATTGTTCATACTACATCAGCAACTCGTGATGCAGTAACTGATTTAGTTGCAGCTGCAAAAGTAAATGTTTTTTGGTTTCCTATTGACATATATGTAATTTTTTTTTGATTTTTGATTTACAGCTTGATTCCACACTGTATTTTTGCTACAAGTATGGAATTTTCAGCATGGATATCGGTAGCCCAAATTTTGCAGGCCAACCATAGATATCAGGTGTGCGCCGGCGTGGGCTCGAACCCGGACCATGTGCATGGTCGGCGAGAGTCCTAACCACTGTGCCACCGACGCACCTTCCATGGCACTACAATAAACATAGGACTAAAATAAAAAGGATGAGACTGAATCAACTTAATATTAACTAGATAAACATCCAGCCCGTCTGCGCAGATGCTTCCGGTGTTCCAAGTTTTGTTCTATTGTGTACACATTCGGTCTGACTTAGATGACATTTTGCACTCCTTATTTGTGCTTCAGCAACGCATGTACTCAGAGTCCACAGTTCAAATATACTGACCAGATATATCCCAAAATATTCCAACTAATTAATTATTATTATTATTGTATCCTTTAGTTCCTAGAAGAACATAGGGCTTCAGCTGCGCACCTCCACTGCCTTCTGTTTTCTGCCAACTTTTTCACTCCGCTCCAAGTCTGCCAAGATGCTTTCATCTCTTCCTCACATGACCTCCTCCAAGTCACCCTTGCACTGACGACCAACTCGCTGCTTCCCTTTCGGCCGGGTTCCACTCGAGCGATGGCTTGTCTAGTGATGTCACTTGATGGCTTGTTTCCTCAGAGTATGGCCAGCCAATCCATCTCCATTTCTTCCTGCCTATTTGTTTCACAATCGGTTCCTGCTGTGTTGGTTCGCTCATTTCCAGAGATCCATCCCTGATGCTGATCTTTTCTGGCCGGCCATCTGATCTTGAGTGGTATTGAGCGAAGACAACTGTTAATGAAGGTCTGAAGTTTGTTTGAGATGCTCTTTATGACGCGCTGGCCAAGTCTCTGATCTGTATAGCAAGTAGCACTGACTGACTTCACATTGGAGTTGAAAATCCGGATCTTATACTCGTTTTGATGCTGAGTGCTGTTGACCTCCACACAGATTTGAGAGTAATGAAAGCTTGTCTTGCTTTTCCGATTCTGGCTTTGATATCCTCGTCAGTTCCGTCTGCCTGTAGTTGAAACGATGCTTCCGAGGTCGGTAGGTGAAGGAGCTTGTTTCTTCCTGTTTCCTCCTATTTGTGCTGATTGTTGTCTGTTGTTGTTGGTGGTGGTGTTGGCCAGGAATTTTCATCACCTCTGTTTTATTTATGTTCACTCGAAGTCCTATCTTTGATGCTTCTTCTGCCAGCTTGTTACTTTTCACTTGCATATCCTCCAATTTGTGGGAAATCAGACATATATCATCGGCGAAGTCCAGATCATCCAAGTCTTTTGTGTCAGTCCATTTTATGCCTGTTCCCTCGTTGGTTGCTGTTGTCTGTCGCATTATCCAGTCAATTGCAATCAGGAAAAGCGCGCATCACTAATCCCAACTAATTAATGCTAACTTTTTATTCTATTCAGATATACTGCTCATCAAAGCACATTCCTAATTACTACTTTAGTCTTTTTTTATCGGTACTCATATGTCAGGTACGGTACTGACTGATCAGGTAATAAGGTGTATTCCGTTTGGTAAACAGCATATCAATAGCACAACCAATATCTTATATTGGAATCCCTTGTCTATTCACACTATTTCACAATCTTAGTGATTAAAATATGTTATTTTCTTAGTTTTATAGTCACGATACGAAGTACAACACTGTTAAATAAGCAGTCATTGTTACTAACTCAATGACTGTAAGCATAGTCTGTCTGCTAGACCATAAGAAATGGTAACTGTTAATATACAACTTGCATAAATTAGGCGAATTTGAAGAATATGACAAGGAATAATCAGCTTGTATCCGCCAACACTATTGATGAGAATAGGTCACTACTTTTTCTCAACACTCCCTTACAACGTAACATGTCTAACATTAGACTGCAAGGTAGTTCAACAAACTATTCAATATAGTTTATGGCTTTGCAGTTATTTAAGCAACTGTTCGAATGGATAAAACGTAACCTTATCATTTCGTAGCTTTCATTCCCAAATTCAGAATTTTAGCTTAATGGTTGCATTGATTTGTTTTCATATTTAAGGTAACCTTAATAAGCTATCCTTATCCTCGGCCATTTGCAGCTGCCAACCAAAACATTGCGTTATTCCATCAGCCCACAATTATGCCCTTTGACCTCAATGCGTCTAAAATAAGCATAGGGACAAAGGCTTTTTTTATTTTTGGAATTCACTCTGTACCTAGTTTGCCTTTATCTGACCAGTATTTTATTGGCATGGCCTTCAGTGACTAGGCTGATTATTGTATAAACAATGAAAATCCATTAGTCCAATGATATTACTTCCCACCCCTTCCTTCTTTTTATATTCGGTAGTATGTCTGTCAATCTATAGTCCACTTATTTTTAACTATTCTACCTAAAATTTTCATAGTCCAATCACGTTATCCTGTTCAATGATTGGTTGATTTTCTGTAAGTCAGACGATGACGGACGTTAATGTCAGTTAACTTTTAGTGACTTTAAGAATTCCTGTCATTTCTATTGTTGATCTAAGCGTTATAACAACATCTTTGGTCACTGAAGCGTTGTGAATTAATTATAGTTTTTTTAAAATTCCAATATGCCGGAATGTTGTCCAGTGCCTACTGCGATACTCGGAAATCTCTGCAGAAACACGATCAGGATGTGCTGTAATAACAAGGGGGTTGGTTGAAGAATTTGCTGTTCTGTTGGATGCTCTCAAAAATGTGAGTTCTATACTTGGTTTTATTTTGACCATACGGGTTGTCTTTATGATTTAAATTTGTGTTCATAATTAGGCAAAGTAAAGATGTAATTATTCGATTTGTTACTATGATATAACAGATATGATTTTTATGATTTGCATTCAATCCACATTGGAATCATTCCGAGTTTTCCTCACTTTTGATAGCATCAAGGATTTTGGGATCCTGTTCCCTTCACTAATTTGTTTCGAATAGTAGTTATGTAGGTCATCATCCAGGCATCGGGTTTAACGTCTAGGATTCGTCATGTACAAATGGTCATTGGCATGCTTTCTCAAGAAAGTTAATTTTTTTCGTTTAGATTGGACACTCACTAGGGTCATTGTTTCGGGAGTTTATTGTTGGAATTCACAAGTTGTGCAGTCATATGAGGATGTGTGAAATGGGTGATAATTCGATTAATCTCTGAAGACTATATTTGTGTTTGGCATCATGACTTATTGCATAAAGCGCAAAGTTTTAGACCAGTGGGTCACATGTGTAAGCCACATTCCACCTACTGAGGTTTTGCTTTGGCTTACCTGTATGCCCACAGCCATCTGCTTATTATTACTTAGTAATTTTGTCCCTTTATATTTTCAGTGGGAAATAAGGACTTCAAGCTACAGGTCTGAAGTTTCGGTAGCAGTGGTGTTTATCTTTAGGGGGTGGGGTTACTAGCCTCGTTCCCAGCATCCCTCTTCACTGAGATTACTACCGGCTCAGAGAGAATGAGTGCGTCAGCTGAGCCATTTGCTTAGTAGCGTGAAATGGTTGCAATAATTGTATTCGTTAGCTTCTTACTTTGCTGAACTGTTCAAGATTTTCGCTACTAACCACTCTGAATGTTAAGATATTTCGTGTGAAGTGTTTCGTTTGTTTACTAGTAAATGGCTCTTATCTAAGCGGTGAGGCGACTATGCTAAGCGAAAGCCGGCTTGCTTTTACTCTTAGGTAAACAGATTCATTGTCAGTATTGTCCTACCATGACATCTAGTAACTGATCGATTATTTCTGACTCAACAACATTCAACAATCCTACACAGCCTGAAAAAAAACATGCTCAGTCAAAGTTGTCTGTTAGACTTTTCCTAGCTAGCTTGACCTAGGTTTACTTCACTTATTTCCTGTCCCCATTCCATTCTCTGCCTACCCCCTTGTCGGTGTGTCTGTCCACTATTGTTCAGTTTATCGACTGAATTTCCGTTTCCAAATTCCCTTGGCCTTTTTGACAAGGTTTTTCGAAGCTTTTAGAAATTCAGTTTACTTTCTAACCCGTTACCCTGTTTTCAAATATCCTTCATCGATAAGGTTGATTAGTCATCCCTAGGTATTCCGAATTTTCTAGCCTTGCGCTTAGTTTCTCATACAGAAACAGTTTGAAGAACTGAGTTCGATATTTCGGTATGCCGAAAACTGACTGTATTTATTAAGTTAGGCAGGTTGTATATATGTATATATATATATATATATATATATATATAAATCAGAGAATGATTATCAAAGGATAATATGGCTTGTTTGAACGAAGTAGGCGTTATATTCTGACATTAAATAATGGCGACGAGTCTCCTTTTGTGCACATTAAGATGTAGACATCCCAGTTGACAACAAAGCCACTTAGACTTTGCATAATAAAATAAACCTACTGCTGGCTTGGTTGTAAACCTGAGTTGATACCAGGTGGGCAGATATAACTGAAGCATGAAATCTTAATTTGCAAAATGAATTTAGAAATATTTTGGCTGTGTAGTCTGAAATGGTTGTAACTTGTGAGAATTGTTTTCACAGCTTAGACGAAATGTCAATGATATTGTTGACCAGGAAAAACCTTACTTGGCTCACTGAAGTTCGTACTTGAAGGACAAACGTCAGTATTCAATTTGCAATTCATGTGAATTCGTGATGTTGCTTAAACATTCACAGTGTATCAGACGACTGTGATCATAGGTAATTCGATTATGGGTAAAATTTGTTTTGAGAAAGTCTTACAGTGGTATACAGTAATGTTTACGTTTCGAGCACAATTTATTGCTTCTAATGGAATTACACTCTCAGGCCTCCAAAGCCTCAGGATGGTCGGGGGTGGGTGCCTTGCGCTGCGGGTTGGCCACCCCTCCGTAAACCTCTTGAGATGCACCCATATGACCGGGCGTCTAACATAGCCTCTCCTGAGGAAGTCCTACTCACTGCCTTCACGTGGCGGAGGTGTTTCTCACCAAAGTGAGAGGGCGAAAGCGGATGCCCGGCGCTCTTCACCGGGTTGACTGTCCATTGGATGACAGTCTAGGGGAGATGGCTAAACCCTGATTCCAAACCTCCAGCAACTGGCGTATGAGGCTCACCGACAGACGTATGGACAAAGGGCTTATTGGATGCCCTGGATGTCTGGCCCCATTCTAAAAGGCGTATGAACCGGACTCCGGCCACCGGCTGCCAATGGATAGTGGACTCCCTACTCCACTCCTACTGCCTTTTAGGTCACACTTGGTTGTGTAAAGGCTAGAGCTGTACTCTCAAACAAAAGGCCGAGCGATGCTGGGGACATCACTCGTACCCAATTCCCATGAAACTTCATGGTTCATGAAGCCGGCTCATCCTCCCGTAGGAGATAGCCGAAGTAAAGTAAAGTAAAAAAGTAATTACACTCTACCACAGTGCACAAGTTTTATTCTTATGTCTTTGATCATGTGTTCTCCGCATCCAAAACTGGTCGATAATTGGTAGAACTATTTCGAAGCGAATAAATGTTACTGCTAAGCATGTCTCTCCCAAGTGCCAATAGGTAATAATAGCTCTAGAAGTTAGTCAGTCACTTGCTGATAACTTTCCTAATCATACTTCCACTCACCAGTGCAAGCGGTTCTTAGCTATTCGGTTTGATTAATTTTCACTTAATCCTGTTTAACACCAACCTGCTATGCCTTTTTTGTTTATTTATTTAGAGTATATGTACAACCCAAAAGCCGGAGACGGGGGAAGTTCCCAACATAGCCCGTCGCATCGCTGATATTTCACACAGCTTGATTAATTTAGTTGACAGTCTCAGAGGTTAGTTTATTTTTTTGTATATCCGGTTAGTATGTTTGAATGCCTATTTTGCGCTGTTGTATGCACACAAATTATTTTTTCTGAAGTTGAGTAGACTTATCGGCACAATAAGCTGTTATTCAGTCACCACAGATAGATGCTCATTATCTTTCGGGCAGTTAATTTTCAGCCTTTTTAAAAAAAATAAATTTGTAAGGGAGATGTTATTTCTGTAATAGACAATCATGTAGGTAACGTCCCAATTTTAATGCACAAATACACATGTACTTATCACTGGGCCGAGTGATTGACATCATTTGGCTCCGTCATGTTATACTTTCACTATCCATTCGAGAACCTTGAGAACTTTCAACAGTGAATAATAACAGTAATTCATCTGTAATTTTAAATGATAAATGCAAAAGTTCTGTACCATTACTAACTGGTAACAATGAAAATTTTCGATCCGTTTCATGAGAAAAGCAGCGCCCATTATGACTGGGTGCAGGGAATCATTGATTTTTAATGATATTAATAAAAATTATCACTTTCTCCGGCTGTTAGTTTGTTTCCCTCTTGTCATTTATGGTAACAGCCTGAAGTTGGTGTTAAAGACATCCAAAAGGACAATGAAAGCTTCGCAATTAAAGTCTGCCAGCTGAGAGAATATACTAACACTAATGACAGCTTATTTTAACTGATATTGTTAGGCACAGTAAAAGGTTTGTTTAGATAGCATTGTGCCAGATTGAGCTGTCGCTATATGCGCATACCTTTCCTGGTCTGTTAAATCTAGTTGTAAATGTCCCTAATTTCAGGTATCGTTTCTCCAGTTGCCATCATTAGACAGTAAGTTTTCACAAATCAATATTTGTGTCTGTCAGAACAGCCATCTTAATTGTTTCTACTTTTTATGTTATTTGACTAAGACCTTTTCTTTCTTTTTTTCTCTACTACTTCTCTTTGAAATACCATTGTTACCACACACACTAAAAAATACATGTTCATGGTTTTTTTGCTTTGCTGTTATCATCCTGCTGCATGGAACTCAACTGTATACATTGTCTATACCTGTTATGATGGGTGTTCAATTTAAATGTGAAACAGAGGGGCCAAGATTGGTTATGTATTTCCGCGCAAGTAGTCCTGAATGTGAGTTTATATTGTGTACTTGTGATAATGATTGTTTTTCATGTTGATTATTAACTTGCACTATGTCGTTCGATACTGGAGTGTGCTTTCTCGCTTATTGTACACATGACAGTGATGGTTAGTTGTTGTGTTTCACTAAGCAGTTATTTATATTTAAGTCTAGGAATAAGAAAACATCTCCTAATGGTTATCAGCTAATTTACTTTCTTTGATTTTCAGGGCGTGATGTGGCTGAAAAGTTTATTGGACGTCATGTCGCCTATCACCATCATTACGTATCAAATTACGCTCTGGGTAAGTTTTCAATTTGCACTTTGTCACTATTGCTATAATTAGTATCAGTGCCTTTTAAATTATTAACGATAATGCCATTTGTTGTTTATTTGTTTTCAAGCTGGCTCAGAATCCACGCACAAAAGCGTTTATATCCGACCAACATGTTATCCTTTCCCATTGTCTCATGATCAAACTGGCGAGCAGCAAACTTCTGTGAATGATGAAGCAGAGTGCCGAGTTTTGGATGCTATCAATCAGCTTAATTCATCATTGGAAGAATGCGTAAATCCTCGTTGTTTCTTTCCATTATACTTGTAATACGAATGTGAGCTGGTCGATATGATATGTATGGGTTACTTGGTGTCAGCGAGCTGTATTTTCAGTTAGCCATAGAAATTACACCAGTGACCAGACATATCCCTATCGCTTAGTTCGAATCATCTGCATTAATAAGTATTTGTGAACCTTAGTTGTATTTTCTTATTGTGCATCAAATTTCTTTAAAACTTTTACTGTTAGTTATTGGATTATGTTCAATATATAGGGATAGTTGATATGCACATATTCCGTCTATGTAAGTCGTTTCAGAGATTCTGCCTAAGCATATTGTTACAAAACATTCAGGTAGTAAACCCCTATAAAGTTCTCATCAATTTCAGAATCTTCTGATAATTCTTATGGGATATGTTGTTTTTTCTACTTTTGTGAAGCTTCATTTTGACAGAATTTGTTCAAACCAAAAACTCTTTTAACTGGGTTTATCGATAATTAAAATTCACACAATATTGATTGCTTGATGCCTGAATTCAGATACTACAAATAGTAAACATTTGTGAAGGACGTTACGCCTTCGTGAACACTTCTTTTTTTGCAATACAATCGGTTTATTTTTATTGCCATAGTAAGCAAAGGTATGTAAAAGTACAACGCATCCACCTGTTCGAATCTTCGTTGTTTCTTACAATTCAGTTCATGTGTTGTTAGCCTTATTACTATTTTCATAGGAAGATGGTTACTGCAACAATTTTAATTTGTATGGTATGTCAGAAATTAATGGTTTATTTTATTTCTTTTTAGTTACCGGATAATAAAATAGCTCAGTCTCTCCTTGCTTCAGCTAGATCAGTAGCTGCATCAGTTCAAAATCTTATCAGAACTGCTAGAACTGTTGTCTCTGTACCACCGACGGAAGCTGTGGATAGAGCTCGGACAGCAGAGAGTGCCTCACAGAAAAGCGCTAGTTCAGCTGCCCTTTGGCGTACTGAGATCAATATATCCCTTGCCACTCAGCATTTGTGTCATCTGTCCAAATTATGTGCAGAAACATTGCCGTCCCCAACATCGACAAAACTTGGTGATGGTAACGGAGAAATATCAGGGCGATTAATCTTATCTCGCGAAAGACTCCTAGCTGCTGTTCGACAAGTAGCAGCTGCTGGAGCGCAACTGCTGTTGGCAGCCAAACTGAGGAAAGAAGCACTAATGTCTGCAGATATTCGCAAGCTAAAAGTATGTTTACTCACCGGAATGCTTCTATCGGTTAAATTTAAAAGCTTAAGGAATTTCTGTTTACAAAGAATGCAAATCATTGCGAGGGTAATCATTTTCATCTGCTATAGCTCAAGTATGCGTGTGTATTAATTGCTTATTGAACCATGAATCCAAACAACTGACCTAGTTGATAATAGATTAACAAGCCTTAACTGATACAGGTTTTGTTATCACACGATCATATTTGTTTACCAGATTAAAATATGTAGAGGACTTTATTCACTTGTAGACGAAAGGCTCTGCCGTGTTATTGCTAGTTAACAATTGTCATGATTTCAAAAGGAATTGAATTCTTCTGGGTTTTGTGTAGTCGTAATACTAAGGGGAAAAACTGAATCAGTAACAACCCACCTTCTTTTTAAATTGTGCATTTTAATAGGATAAAGAGTAGTTTTATGGGTTTACTTTTCCTATTATAGACCGCCGGACAAGCAGTGAAGGAGTCTACAGACCTACTTGCTGAAACTGTTCAACGAGTGCCTAACGATTCAACTGCTATAACTTGGCCAACGTATACAAATCAAACATTATTACAGGTAAGGCATATTCGTTATGTAATTAGAATTTGTCGTGATGGCATATAGGTAGAGAAATTCTTCGTATGTCGGTATGGAGTGTTGTAGCACAGATCTCACGTTTGCAAACGACAAGGGAAAAGGTATAGAAAGGGGAAGATTTCTTCAAAAGAGGAACTCGCATTCCAACTGTTTCTGCGATTTTCATATGTGAAGTCTACAAGCTTGATCAATCACACCTAGCTATTTTGGATTTTATTTTATTTTCCAAGATTTGAACGGTTAATTAGCTATCGCACATCGTTTCATGAACTAATCTCTTTTATGAGAGGCTTATTAAATTTAGGCATAATAGGCTACCTCCAGTATAAGAAGTAATTTATTCTAATTTTATTTCTACTTTTATGTAGAGTATTCAAACTAAGGCTCAAATTCACTCTCAACAAATGGAATTAGAGGCACTGGAATCACGTCTTGCTCGTTTGCAGCAATCGCAACCCACGTAAATCGTACATACGGTTCTATTGTACAGTACTTCTGATCACTTCAGAATGATGATTACCACCAGCGGACCTGCTTTTTCATTTGCAAAGTCTTTTTCAGTTAATTAATATTTCGGAATCCTCATTTCTTTGTCGATGATTCGAATTCTTTCAGGTTGATTTTATTTATTTGTTTTTTCGAGTGCTTATAAACTAATATAAGCTTTTATCAATGTTATACAGCATAATTTCAGCTATCTGTTAGTTTCACTATCACCGAATTCGCTGTCAAGATACACTTTAGACCAAGTAATATATATTTATTTTATTTCCACATATTATTAAATGCAAATTATCTATGCATGGCATGTATTATATATCGCTTTGAGATTATTAGCAAGTTCTAACTCCCGGCAATTTTATTGTGTCATTATTACCCCTTTGTTTTGTGCTTATTATGGTTTTGGCGCCAAGTCATTTAATTGCCTTATTCTTTGAAGTATTTACTGTATTTTATGAATAATATTGGGATACTTTGATGAAAAAAATTCAGTTTATACTTACCTGTTATTTTCTTTACGTTAGACTTTTCACGAGCACTCAATATTATCTTACCACGGGATAATACACAGGTTACTCCAATGACATTCAATTAGTTGATCATTGTCAAAGTGCTAAGTATTTGCAAAATTGGTAGAAGTTACACGTCTCGTGCGTCATGCGTTCGACATGGTTTCTGATGGAGCAGGTAGACACACACAAATAGGACGAATACAGTTAGTCTGACTCTCAGAGGTGCATAATTTGAGACGCACGAACAGTTGGTGCTACCTAGTGATCCGCATTGTGAGAAATAGCACCAGGTTAGGATAAATTCTTGAAGGTCGTGGAGTTTAAAGGAGGTTAGCTTAAGGATAGCAAAACAGCAGAACTTAATTCTTTAGTTCTAAAAGCCATTTAAAACAGTAGTCAGAAATAACTGAATATGATCGCCACATTTAAGAAATCAGTAACAGTTTCGTCACGATGTTCTTGGTAATTTTGTTTGCCTCACTTTTTAACTAGTTGAAATTTCACTTAATATTAGAATTAACAGCATTCCATAATCCTGTGAATATATTTGTACGTTTTAACTTACATTTTATGAATGCGCTCAATTGTTGTGTATACTAACTGCTGCCTAATTACTAACAAGAAATAAAAGGTAGTTTCGTAAAAATGAGTCAAAACAGTTTGATTGGATTATCAAAATTCAAATAAAACACTCATGTGAAATGAGGGTTTACATGTAGTTTCATGAGTAATTTTTCAGGCCTTGAAATAATTTGTTAAAAAGCACTGAAATCCTAAATGGTATTTTGGAAATACAGATTGGTGTAGATAGTAATTTGTGCGTTCGTGTGTATGCAAAGCTTAGCGTTTACTATTTGTCTAATATCCTCGTGATCGTTGTCATGTAATCAAATCAGAAGCTAAGTTAGCCATACTGATTATACAATGTTGAATAACCAGAGTAGGGAGGAGTAGACTGAAAGGCCTAAAAATACCTTTAAAACCTTATGTATTCATGTGTTCACCTGAAGGTTCGGTACTACGGGTCGACATGTCAACAAAGACTGAACATTCACGTGTTGGTTTGTAGGGATTTGAGTGGTTTCAGGATTCAGCCATGAACTGACATTGGTTAGAGAGCCGTCGGAAAACTTTGGAATACTGGGCAACTGTCTCGTCCTGGTTAGGAGCTCTTCAACAGTCCGCAACCACTGGGGTTCAAGCTCATTACGGTCCATAATAATCAGTCAATCAACGGGAAATACAAAATTAACTGAAACAAATTAGTTGAGATTAGTTAAAAGAAACTACATAAAAAAGAACTAAAGACAGTCATTTAGCAATATTATCAACAATTATAATTTTTAACAACAGGATTAAACAAGAAATGTATAAAGAAAAGGAAAATAGTGATTTTATTTCATAATCCATTTATATCAATGAATCAATACGTACCATAAATGAAGAGCATATTTTGAAGCTTTGTGTACAATGCATTAACAGAATTTTAAGTGTAAAAATCATAATAAAATTTTACTAAGATAACATTAGTTAAGGTAAGTAGAATGCATTTCATATCCGTCATCTTTCGAATTCAACAGAACACATACCTGATGATCTGGATATATAGGTAATTTCAATTTGTATTTATCTACTAGTGAATTCGGTACAAATCGCCCGCCTGAATAAATATTTGAATAAGGAGGATACAATGTATTCAGTAAGTTACGAAAAGTAAAGGTGGGGGATATATATATATAAGATGGAAAATACACATGCTTGATTACTTACTATGAAATGAATTACTATGAATTAACGCTTATGGTTTAAGTACCTAGGGGAATACAGCTATGATAACCAGAGAATTTGCAGTATCTGTTTACGGTATTCAGAATTTGTTCTTCCTAACTGGTTTTTATTCGTATCACTTATAATTCCTCAATCATAGCTTCATGTAGTGGTTACGTGAAGTTCAGTCAAACTATACTGAATAACATAGCTTCGATTCAACAGAAGACAACACTGACAGCCAAACAAGTCTTTTGTACCTGTGACGAAATTTCTTCAGTTATTGAACATTACACTGATAAAGAACCTGTTATGAGGTAACAATTTACATTTCTGAAGTGAGAAATGCATCATGAGCGTTTTGGGAGTGTTATTCATAATGCTTAGAAGACCTTGGATATTGTCAGTGTACTCAACCAACAGGACAACAATGTTGTTTATGCGCTAAGAAATTTCCTGAGTAGAGCATCGGTGATCGAGTAGTAGAATGCTTGCTAACCACGCACATGATCTAGGGGCCCATTCTCGACTGATGTACTCCTAAACTTCGCATAGCCGGCAGTGAGCCGTTTAAATAAGGAGAGCTGAGGTGAGGCTAGCAACCTCACTCCGTAACAATAACAGAGGCACTACAGAAACTTCAAAACTCAAGCCTGAATTGCTTTGTTCCACTCGGAACGCTAAGAAATGAAAAAAATTAAATTAATATGTGAAGACTTTAATAAACACATGTATTATACAGTTATAAGTTATCATAAAAGTCTACAAGAAAGAAGAGATAATCACAGTATAGTGAGTCTGCCATTTTTTTTGTTTCCTTCACGTTCCCCAGTGGAACATAGGGCTTCAAGCTAGTGGCTTGAAGTTTCCGTAGCAGTGTTTGTTTTACAGGATAGGGTTGCTAGCCTTATGCCCGACCTTTCCTCTTTACTAGCATTATTCCTGTCTAAGCGAGGTAAAGGAGTGAGTCGGCCGGGGATCGAACCCGGACCATGTGCATGGTCGGCGAGCGTCCTAACCGCTATACCACTGACGCACTAGTCAATCTGCCATAATAAAGTTTATGACAACTCAACATTTAACTGGATGTAAATAACAATTACTGATTCGAGTGCAATAGACCTTACGATTTTCAAACAGGTATCATGATTCCACCGCCATGCGTTGACAATATCTTTACTATTCATGCGTGTGAGATACACGTTGAAAAATTGTGATGTCAATGGGTTTCAAGGTATTCGGGATTTTGTTATGGTATCTAAGTGCAGTGAATATGGATAACTTCTCCTCATACCAAATACACTTGGACATTACTTGAAAGGACAAAGAAGAGTTAAAGTGACCATGATGAAACATAGAAAACAACTTTCCATTTCATTTCATTTCATTAAGATCCATATGAAAAGTCAGCCTAAATGTGGAAAAATTTAACTTTCTTTTATAAATAACAATATTTGTCTTTTATTTATTTATTTCCTGATAATTGTGTTTACACCACATCATGCTCGTTATTTGTCACCCTTATTGGCCGGTTGCTCTGTAGTAGTCACATTGTCTTTCACAACAGTGAATACATTCACCCTTGAAACATGTACTTTTGTTGACTATATATATGCATACACTGAATTATTTTATCTTCTGTTCGTATTGACTACATATATGAAGATTTAAATGATAATCAAAACTGAATACTTGTTCCATTATACATTTTCTGACATAATTCTAATTTGCCTATACTGGTTGTTGTATGCTGACATTAGTGGATTTATAATTGTAGAACCTGAAGAAGTGCGTCGGTGGCACAGAGGTTAGCATGCTCGCCGCCCATGCACATGGTCCAGGGTTCGATCCCCGACCGACGCACTCCTTTACCTCGCTAAGCCAATAGTAAGACTGGTAAAGCGGAAAGGTTGGGCATGAGGCTAGCAACCCCATCCTGTAAAAATAAACACTGCCACAGAAACTTCAAGCCTCTAGCTTGGAGCCCTATGTTCCACTAGGAACGTGAAGGAAACAAACAACAGAACCTGAAGAAGGATTTATCGAAAACGATTGTTCGCTTTAATTATTCTTGTTTTAAATAATAAATTATAAAGATATTCAGATAACAAATCAATTTAGAATATTCCATTCAATAATTTATACAAACAGATTTGCAAATGTACAACTAAGATTATTAACATGACAACGACCGTTTGTTTCCTTCTCAGTTATCGAAAATACCACACTTCCCTGTCAGTTAAACAGAAAAACGTGACATCATCGGTCACAATCATAGAGAGCACTTATGGATCATCGTTTCAGTAAACAGTCAATTGATGGTTAGAAAATCAGTGATTATAGTTAGACAGTTTAAGGTCAGAATCAATACAAACAGGAAGTTATTTTGACATTATGATGTGTGTGTGTGATAGAGAGTAAGACGGAGACATAAAGATAGGTGTGGGTGGTGTTGATCATAGTGTAACATTTGTGTGAAAAACAACTTCATTTACGTCAAGTCAGGTAAACAAAACGATCGTATATATACAAATATACTTAGCTACTGGATACACAATGCACTTTAAGTATTAGATGGTGAACACTTCAGACAGTAGTAGCTGATTGGTAATGAATTTAGTGAATCTGTTTTTTGTAATTATCTTTTCAAAAGTTGAATTATTTTTCCTTTGATTTGCACTGTTAGTTCTGGTTCATTTTATTATCGTCAAGTGTTAAGTGAGGCTTATCTATCATTCCCCTTAGGTTTTGAGTGGAATACAGGGCTTTGACAGCACGTTTCCATTTCTTGTTCTCTGCAGTCCTCTTCAGCTGGTCGCACGATTGTACATAACCTTCTATCTCTTCCTAATAAAATATCCAGTTTGTGTGACACTGGGCATAAATCGTCCAGATCTTTTAGAGTTTTCTTATCGGTCCAACGTATTTTAGCTCCGCACAATCTGACGCATAATCCAGTCCACCAAGATTAGGAATATCATTGGTGATATTAGCCGGTCTTGTACTCACTTCAAAGGCATCGTCGAGTTTTCTGTGGGGCACCACCTGACACGTAAGATTGTCATATAGCTGTTGAATGAGGTTGATAAAGATTTGGGGCACGCTATAATGTTGCAGTAGTTCCCAGATTATTTCGCAGTCAACGCTGTAGAAGGCCTTTTCAAAATGGATGAAGTTGGGGTAAAGGGTTGACTGTCATTCTATGCTGTATTCCATGATGATACGTAGAGCTCCAATTTGATGAGCACATGATTTGCTTCACCTGAATCTAGCTTGCTCCGCTCGGAGTTCTGCATTCAGTGCATCTTTTAGCCTCTCCACGATGATGTGACTTAGTATTCCGCTTGAAGTGGACGAGAGCATGATTCTGCGCCAGTTCTTGCAGGGGTAGAAGCCGCTCTTCTAAACGTTTTGCAATATTGGTGTAAGCATATTTGCTGCAGTCTCTGGAACCGTCTTCAGTCATACACGAGGAATTTCGCCTGATCGTGGATCGTGCAGCTTTCCCGGACTTCAATGGCTTGACTGCATTTGTTGGGGGATTGGAGTCCATTGGCAGTTTTTTGCCTGCTGTTGGTGGTGTTTCTGTATGAGTTGTAAGTGATGTTCGATCCAAGAGTCCTTTAAATTGATCAGTCTATTGTTTTATTTGTTTCTCCTCTTTGGTAATTGGGTTCGCTTTACCATCTTTCATTAGACTCATCATGTGGATTGATCTCTTCCTGGACATAGAGCTGGTTATCTGATATGTGTTGAGGTCTCTTTTACCTGCGGCCAGCCTCTTCTGCTTCAGTTGCCGACCAGTGTGTCGTAGAATTGTATTTTGTCTTTCCTAGCACTCTTCACTTCTTTATTCAGTGCGTTTTAAAATGAACTCAGCTCTTCCTCCTTCTGTTGTCCATCTTTGCATTGGTTCGTCTTCCGTTTCACCAACCCCCTGTAGAGAGCCATTCGTTGTCTTGTTCTTTCCTCCCTTACACGTTCCCTTAAACATTCCCTTCAGAGAGTTCCAGCGTTCTTCTAAACAGGTTTCCTCAGTGATGCTACTTAATGTCGCCGACTTTGCTCTGACGGCTGCAGTTGAGGTGTCTCTTGTAGTTTTTTCCTTCAATTTCCGAGTGTTGAACTTGAATTGCAGTCTATTTTCAGCTGCTTTGAAGACTTCTAGCTTGACTTTGAAGGTTCCTTGAACCAGATAATGGTCTGAGCCCACATCTACTGCCCTTCTCGTTTATATGTCCGACAGACTGTTCCTTCAATTTCCGGAGATTGAGATTAAGGTTGTCTAGATTTTGGTGTGTCCGCCAGATGAAATCCACGTTACCTTGTATATATCCTTGTGCTTATATGCTCTACTTCCGATTACAAAATCGTTGAAGGCGCAGAAGTCTGCATAGAGTTCTCCGTCCTCATTCATTTTGCCCAGAGCTTCTCGACTCATCATGAATTTTCTTCTCGTATTGTTTGTTCGGAGTTCAGCATTCATATCTCCCATTAAGATCTTAACGTCGTCAATTGAGATGTTATCCGTTACTGTTTTGCATTTGTCCATAGAAATCTTCATTCTTTTCTTATTTAGAGTTGTTTGTAGGCGCGTAGCGTTGGATAATTGTAGGCTTTCTTCCTCTTGAGCTGAATCTCGATGTCACTATCCTGAAGGAGATTGGTCCTCTCTCTGCATACGGGCTTCGGCTGCTATCGATGACATCATGATAGCCACTCCCTCAGCGTGCTCGTGCTTGTCGTCTGGGCGACCGGAGTAGGTTACTGATTCTCCAGTCGACGATTCGGAGAGTCCACATCCATTCCAGCCTTCTATGTCGAACCTTCTCATTTCCTCGCCAACCTGGACAGCATTCCAAGTCCGAATGCTTATTTTTCCTTTCATCGAAAGAAGGCACATCAGCTAACTGGCTTCTCGAAGGCTCTCACCATCCTGTGTCATTCCGATTACAACGAAAAATGAGTTTTAAAAGAATATTTTTCTTGTGCTTTGAAGTTTCGTACGTACATACTACTAAATTGTGATATCAGTACCTATGCTTGATTAATTCTTCAGAGGTAAAATATTAGATTAAGACACTTTCTTTGTAATCTTAAGTCACATATTTATTACTATCCATATAATCTAAACTGATTCATAGACCACCTGATATAAACAAATACATTTCAAGAACACGGTTAATTTTACCTAGAAAATGATATCTTCCTTGGAAATAACGCGCACACAGTTTCGGTGCGGTTAGTGAAATTAAACAATCTGGTTGTATATTGCTCACATTGTCTAATGGTCCAGTTTCTACATTCCATCCTGTTATAATATAAATTAATAAAAAGGTGCAATAATAATGAAAAAAATGATAGTAAGTGTCGAAGAAGAAAACTGTGAAAGTACAATAATACTGCCATCTTACCGTTAACATGTCCATTAATATAATGGCAAGTTTCCAGTATCCATCAAGGTAGGGTAGATCAAGAGGAAGTTAATCTAAAAGAACTAGGTGTCATGTGATCTGCGTACTAATGAAGGAAGAAGTAATGAGTCATGCTTAGGTCCCCAAGACTAATCTGTACGTGATTCAAGTGGGATATTGGTAAACTCAAAATTCACGTAAGCAATACTGTTGTTAAGCAGAATCGCACCCATCCATCACTGTGATCATATTCTAGCCTGACAGCCTAAAATGCAGATGCAGCTGGGCTTCCTAACATAAATTCTCTTTCGAAGAATTGAAAGTTTTTGCATGACTAGTTCAACAAACAACTGGACTCAGGATTTTATAACTAACCTTCTGGGTAGATAGCAGTTACCTGTAGAAAGCGTGTTAGATTGTCTTGACGCTCTCCATACATAAGTCTTGTAAGCCAATGTATAGAGAAAAGAGTTCACTTCCACTCAGTCCAAAGTGATCTCCACACCCAGCTTTACCAACCATTACCAGAAAGCGCTGTGTATTTTAAGCAAACGTTCTTTTGACTAATATATGCTAACTGCCAATTACCAGTCAATCTAAGTAACTTAATATATATCCTGTTCACAGAAAACACTACTACTACTATATGCTGATCATTCTGCTGGGTCACTGCACATAATGAATGATAATACGATGTCAAAATGTAGATTATTACCTGTACTCGTGGGAGCGGACACAAACAACATTCTCTTCTTTGCAATCTGCTTTCCTTTTCATTCAGTGTTAAACCATTGACGTTTTTCGAACTACGAATGGGTGTCGACAACCTTACTTCTAAACACCTAGGCATCCGTGTCTTAGGAACTCCATTTTCCATCGATTACTACAATACGTGTTTATAGCTCCAACCGGTACAGTTGTGATGTCAGCTAAGGGTGCTAAAATAGAAATCCGTGCTATTTATCCGAAATCCGGTGGTGTGAAGTGGGTCAAACCAGGTACACCATTGATGACTTCGACCCTAAGCGAGCATAATAACTATCCGGTGTTTAGATCACTTCGATCCGTTTAGAAAGCACGACTGGTTGATGTGAGTGGTATACAGCTACTCACTTCATTCAATCAGTAGTATAGAGCGTAGAGAAATGAAAATCCTTATGAAATAATGTAGAAAGCATAACTGAAGACAAAAAGAATAAAAAGGACTTTTGGAAATTGAAATGCCAATGTAGGGTTTTTATATTTTACCATCAGTGTACGGTATTTTTATGAATAAGCAGTTCTGCTACCAAATACCACCACATACTTCTGTTACACTATTATTCCCCAAATATGGGTCTTTGGTACTTGAATATTATCTATCACTTCTTCATAAGTACGCAAAATGGGATCTGATTCTTGAGCATTAATTTCCTCACATCCTGTTTCACTTTGAAAAATGTCATCTCTATACTCATCTGCCATATTCAGAAACAGGCTTATCTGGAGCAAAATCTTGTTCTGCCATTTGTAATAGTTTGCATTTTCCCCTCCTTATTTACTCCCGACAGTATTCACAGGTGAAAATTGTTACACGCACATAATTTTCAGGACATATTTGATGAGGGCATGCTGCTCGGTGCTACCTGTACATCAGTAAATCCACAAGGAGCAGTCATGTAATCCCCCGAATTTTACTAATGGATAAAGTATTACTAATGATAATAATAATAATATTAATGACGATATGCATGTCAAACACGCACAGGATAATGACAACACCAGCAAAGGGGAATGCAAATCATCAGTAGTCTTTCCATACGAGGAAGAAACCTTACGGAGAATTCTTAACAATGCAGGAATTAAAGTGGCATTCAAACTCATAGACTCAATTAGAAATAAGCTTTGCCGGTTAAAGGATCCTGTGGAGCCAATTAAGTAAAACAACTTAGTTTATATGATATCCTGCCGGAATGACTGTCAGGTGAAAGTAGAAGAACAGTGTCAGTCAGACTAGCAGAGCATAAAACCCTGGCAAAGTCTAGATTCAACTCCTGCCCCAGACATCTGGAGAATCCTACTGCCCCTACGACAAATAGGAAGGGACGAAGAAAACTATAAAATGGGAGTTTGGAGGTGATGTGGTTATAACTGATATGATTATGAACAATAAAGTGTGCTCGAAACTTCGTCATCCAGTAAATAATACTGCTTCACTGTGTGATATATCTAATAAACAAATAAATATGGAGTGACATACTACCACATTGCCCAAGTTTTCCACATATTGATAGGAAAAAGTTAAGGAATATAACCAAATTCATATGAAATAAATGCGAAGGAATATATGGATACAGATACCTCAGCAAACTCAATGAAGTAATTTCCACCGTGAACTATCAAATTCTCTGGTTTTTATCCATTATCTCCAAATTCTCATACTCAGACATATACTTTGAATAGCATCTAGGATGATACATTTACATCTGGAAACAATTAGTGAAATTATGTGAGATGTTAAGTAGAGTAGCTACGTACGGTTTCACTGTATCTAACTTTGCTTTGACAGGCATTCATGCATTTTAAATTTTCACTGCTATTCTCAGATTTCAAAATTTCAACATGCGTAATCATACTACTAAAAACTGCTCAGTAGTGCACGGATTAGTGAGAAAACTTATCACATATTATCTCTGTTTGAGCTAACATATCAGGGTGACTTTCTTCGCTAACTAATATAACTTAAAGAATTAAGTGAAGCCAGAAAAGACTTGAAAAATGTTACATCCTAGTTGCGAACTCTTCGGATATGTAAAAGCATGACTCGATGACAGATACAGCCCAACAGATTGCTAAAAATATTTGAGTATTTGCTTTGAGCTGTGTGTATCTAGAATGATATCAAGTTTTCGAAAGATGTATTGAAAATCAGAGTTTAAACTCCTACTATATTTTATCAACTGATTTCAAAGTAGTGTTTAGAGCATTTCTAGTGGATCACTATTGGAGTTCGTTTCTTATATGTAGTAAGGGCTATGGGAATTAGAATGAACAATCCTGTTTTGTATTCCGAGACTTGGTTAATGACGAATCAATAAACTATCTTGTTACGCTTACTTCAAACCTGCTATAGTACTACGATTTTCGATTTCCGTTAGATCTCTGTTCAAAATTTAGTTCATTCACGTCCTATAATATTATCCAACCAGAATTCTTATAATTATATCGACTGTCGTTACCGCTACAGATTATGCCTTTTTAAAAAAAGAAATGGAAGGTCAGTTTTAACTGAATCAATCTGTTAATTATTTAGAATTAAATTGAAATGCGAAATATGTTTGTATGCCTTAGCCATATTCTCTAACTAACTAACTAACAACAATACACATGCTATCTAGTTGATATGGAATAAGAAATGATGAAACAATAGAGAAAATGTTCACCTGATGGGACATCAATTGATACAACAGGAACTTGAGCTGTCGAAATCACTTCTAAAACATTACTAAACTCTGGCCTCACAGGCGGTTTGAAACCAAATCCGAAAAGTGCATCGATAAACAAATCATATGATTGAGATAATTTAAGTGCCTATTTGATCAAAGATGAAGAAAACCAAACAGCATAGTTCATCGCTTTGACATATCATCCGATGGAATAGTGAAGAATACATGCGATTACACAATGTTTATTGCTAAATAAAATATACATTTTGAATCATAGTCATGCAGTAAGAGCAAACACTTCATTATGATTCGATAAATTAACCAGAAAAAAAGCACTGTTGAATTGAAACATAAGTTTAACTATTTGATTTGTTTAAAACCATTCTCAGTTATAGATGGATAGTTATTGAAGGATAATGTCAATAAGGCATTAATGTATTAAAGCGAAAGAAACAAAGCCGCTGCTGAGACTTTAGCGATCAAGCTTGTAGCCCTATGTTTCACTAAGAACTCAAAGGAATGAAAAAAAGGTCAGTTGAATTAATTTAATAAAAAATTCTTTTCTATGGCTGTAAGTTTACACCAATAGTCTTTTTCATTAGTTGGTCGAATGTGAAGTTCAAGATTATCGTTCATAGGAACGCAAATTTTCATCTCAGTATGAAGACAATAGTTGTAAGGCAGTGTTTACTGTTCTGTTGTTCGTTGGCTAACTTGGCTAGATAATGAGCCTCCAGTCACGACACTGTAGCCAACTAATCACTTGGAAATATTTCCCCGCACTGAGTAGACACACATAAGTCAGGATTAGTTGAGACAACTAAGACGACGTCTTTATTAATCACAATAAAGAGTAAATTATCCTTAGACATCAATGAAACTTTAAACCATGGATAGAATAATCAGTATCTGGTTGACTACATCAATCATGAATTTACGGCTAACAATGATGGTTAATCCGCGCTAACAATAATATTACAAAATATAGTTAGAGGAAACAAGTATTAGGCACCAGAAGTTAAACACTCCACAAAAAATGGGATGTAAAGATAGCGACACTACAGTGTCCCCAAATAACTGATGACAAATAAATTCAGCACTAGTATGTCCAGCCTTATCGCGGGTGAAATATCAAGCCAAACCATTTTAAGTATTCTTATCTAGCTACAAGTGGTTTCACCCTTTCCCCACAAGTAATCATTGGTATGGACTTAGGCTAGTTATTTATAGACATTTGAAAAATTCAGCTAAGCCATTTGAAACGATGGACATTAAATAATTTGTTTGTCTCTATCATCCAGGATGTTGATGAACGAAAGATATCATCTGAGATAAAAGAAGCCTAAAACGCTACAGTTATTGCATATAATATATAACTATAGTTCGCTTAGATCCTATAACGACTGGGCCACGTTGAAGAAAGAGTTACTACCGATTCCAGAACACCTTATTTTTGAATGGAACTGAGAATTATCTTACTAAATGATAACAAAGAAATACTACTGAAGACATCCCTCCAAATTCCCCATCAATTCCTGAATAACAAGGTTCTGTGACGCTACGTTAAAATAAACATCCGTTTGGCAAGCAGTTTGCATCGGTGGTAGAATGGTAGGAAGCTCGCCAACCACGCATGTAGCTCGAGTTTCGATCCCCGACAGAAGCACTCCCAAACCTCTCCAGGCCGGTAAAGAAGGAAGGTTGGTGGTAAGACTAGCAACCCCACCCCGTAAAAATAAACACCACTGCTACCGAAACTTCATAGCTCTAGCCTGAAGCCCAGTGTTCCACTAGGAACGTAAAGGAATAAAAAAAGCAGTTTGACATCTTAACCTTGGGAAGTTCAACTTTCTACTTCCTTGAGATATATCTAGAAGCAGTTAAAGGTGAACAAAAAGAAACATGGCATAAACGCATTTATCTGTCACTGGAAACGTCAACATACTCCATCAGTTAAATTGGATAGGAACGGGACGTCCATCTTTTCGCATTGAATGATCAGATTTTTGTACAGCTGATTAGTTGGAGTACGCGGATAGTACACGGAAGGTTTATAACCCTGAAAAAAGAAACATAAAATACTAGTAGTAATATATATATATATATATACATCTAGATTCAAGTAGTTGTTTAATTACTATGTATATGTGTGAATATTCCGCCGAACGCTTATCGTATAAGAGTTACTATCTTCCAGTTGAGGCTAAGAAGCTCACCTGACCACCTAACTGTGTCTGACCTAGACAGAGTTTCCAGCGCAGAATTTTGCATAAAAGTACAGTAGTTCAAGTTGCAACATTTCATAAAGCTGATGATACTTACTAGTTACCCGAACCTTGATGAGTAGGTTTCAAATCGGTTTTAGCTGATTGGAGGCAGTCGGCATCAAGCATTGGACCTAGGTTTTGTGCTAGTTACCACCCATCAGCAACCTTGAAGGAGCTCATATCCCCTCTGGGATTCGAACCCGCGTCATCACCCAGTGCCACAGTCAGAGACGTTACCACTGAGCCATTCGGGCTCGCGACTAACCTCCTGTAGGACTGTATTGGGTTTCAGATTACTGATCCAGTGATTGGGGTTGAATACCTAAACCAATGAGCTCCACCAGCTACGAAATAAGTTAGAGTTACTATACGCACGCCACTAACAAAAATAAAAACACAATTACACTTACAAACATTTTTAAGTGTCGAGCACACACCAAACCGTCTCCACCATTATTTCCTGGTCCACAGAAAACCAATACAGAACCATTAGCTCTAGATAATTCTTTGAGAGGATAAGCCTACATTATAGAAGTTAGTTACAATAACGTCAAATTTTCAAAACGAATTACAAAGTTTCCTAATATGTTAAATAATTCAAAAAGGTAAAAGTTAATGCACTTTGTGTTCAATTCTGAATCAAAATTGTTAAGTAGTTATTCTGCGATAACTAGAAACTATTTGTGAATGAATAAATGTTTGCAGATTCATTTTTCTCTTTTGATGGAAAGGACAAGATGCTAACTAAATTAGTTGCTTCTATCATGCAATTATTGATAACACGTATTGATAGATACTGTCTATCGAGGAAGTATCATTTTCGTAAGCAAAATATGGTTACATCAGTTGAAAAATACATGGTGGTCAACAATGATATCCAACAAGCATGCCGCATACTACTTGAAACCTATCAATTTGAGAGGCTTCATTCCCACACACCCTATACCCCAATGAGTGATGACTTAGCCAGTGAAACTCAAATCAAGCAATCATCACTTCAAAACCATCTGAGTGCCATTCACAATAGCCTTCTTTTAATGCAAGATACATTAATAGCTGTTATTACAATTTACAGTTTCCCATTGTTAATAGATGCTGATAACTCAGGTAGAAATAAAGTAAAACGATCAGCAACTGCAAATTCCAATAATGAATACAGTTTATTCAGATTGAAATAAGTTTTTTTCTTCGTACAGATTGCATAATATTCTGAGTTTTAATTGACAAGATGGATATATTTTTGAAGCAATTTCCTTTTGATCGAAATAAACGTTTTGTACGCCTTTTGATGATTATGATCAATAGTTATCCTTCAAAGATTTATTCAATAAAGAAGCATCTATTTTAAATGACTATATATGTTTAATACACTTTCGTTTGGCTATTAAAAGGCAGAGTTTATCTGGAAAAAGTGATTTATTTGTACAGTACATTGGGAGCAGTCTAATGACACATTTACTTGTCGAATCAGTTTATACGGAAAATGAATTAAACAAATTAATAAAGGGGTTTAAAAGTATGGAAGACAATAAATGACACTATTCTTCGCAATATAATCATATTAAGATTACCAAGGTAGGTTAAGGGTAGTAGTGAATTTTGTGTGTGTGTGTGCATAATTTTACGAATGGCTACTTGATCGGAATATTTTAAAATGAAGTTTTGGTCTCAACCTCATGACTTATATCAATAATGTTTCGCTACACACAAGACTGTTATTCTGCATTCATAGAGGTTTTGAAATTCAAATGCTTTCCCAGTCATTTGGGTATATTTTCTCCATCGTCATGTGCAAGGAGCGATCATTTCCCCCTATGTGTGCCCGCACACATACATGTGTAGATTGGTAAACTGTATGGGATATGTAAGTGTACAACTTGGGCACTGTGGTATAATGCAATTCCATATTAGATACGTTTAAATGTCACACAACAATGTAGTATCAGCAACTGGATGACATTTAGAGCACAAATTATTGCTCATAATTATATCAATTTTAGTCACACGGTGTTGAATTAATAAATAAAGCTTCAGTGAATAACCCCTCTCTCTACCTAATTATATTAATTTTTAATGCACTCACCCTGTCCCACCATGTTGTGATTACATACAAGTGAATGCAATGCAATGGCTGAGCTTTCTCTAGGTTATTAAACTTAGTAGGGTCAATTATTCTAGGCCTAGCTAAATTTTTAAGTTCCGATAATCTAGTTGACCCTGATCTACTAGTTTAACCTATGTAGTTAACCTCACAGTCATTACATGGTATTTGGTAAATTATATTATTTCTCTTAATTGGATCTATTTGGTCTTTAAGACAACAGGATGAGTTAGCCATGCTAAGCTGCAGAATAAAACGAAAACAAGATGGTGGGTGAGATACTGGCATTTACAGGAAACTGACACATGCATGTTTTGGCTTTCTCAATAATTACAAGCCATAGTAAGTTTTACGGGTGAGAGAATTTAGTCTTTGTCTTAAAATCATACCATTTATTCTTCGGTTGTCAGGTAATTCGAGATAAACATTGTTCTTAGAAACAGAGTAAACTGTGGGCCTCGGAATTAACTGCCCTCCACATTGGTTCAGAAACTTTAGAGAATATCCGTTTTGGACAAGTGTATCAGTCAATATTTTTAGTTGTCAGTTTTTGCTGTGACAGCTGTACAGATACGCTACATCCTCTTGAATAAGTCCCTCCTCTAATGGGTTGGACAGAAACGGTGAAAATTTAAATACTGTTCTGTCAAAGTAAGCTTTCGAGATAATCTATCACTTTTTACAGCCATCCTCTATCCGACTTAAAAGAATGTCTAAAACTGCTGGTTGATTGCATGTTTCTTCCTCACACATAAGGCTGAGGTGATTCTGTACAGAGCTGACGCTAGAATAAAAGTGAATATATAAGGTCTATCAAACAGTCAGAAGCATAAATGCAATATTCTTTTTTGAGTTTATTTTACTTATCTCCATATTAAAATACGACGGTTACTATTACCTGCTTTTTGATATTTTTAAAAGCTGAAACGCGTAATGACAATAATCGGGCTATAATGATGGTAATGTGCACATGGTACATAAAGTTTAGTAAGTATTACTGTCACTATCTGCATGAAATTAGACATTATATTCAAACAATAATTAAGACATACACTTCATGAGAATTTTGATAACCTTAAATAGTAAAACACAAATCAAACAAATGTAAATAAATAACAAATATAAAGTAGAGGTGTGGTCAAGAACAGGCCGCGTGTGACCGGCCTCAAGCAGTTGTCCCCTGGGCTCTGCGGTCACGCAACCAACTTCCACGGTGTGGGCAGCCGGGAAGTAACAATCGCCCTCACAATCCGAAATGCACACGAAACCTCTCTATTACTCACTCATCTTTGTCTTCATCTTCATCTCTATCATCTTGCCTTCCTTCCACTGATGCAACTCCTCGACTTGATAGCTCTCCACTTCCTCTCCACTCTGCGTCCACTAAAAACGATGGAAGCCAAAAAACCACCACCGACAGCCTCTTAAAGCCGCGCCACCAATTTCATATAGGAGCTCTTAATGTTAGGACACTTTGCCAAATAGGACAACAAGCATCACTAGCCAAGACCCTGGCATCACGAGCCATTGATGTATGCTGTGTTTCAGAAACACGCATACAAGACCCAAGTGTGGTTATTCACCTAACCCCACCTGGCCAACAGGTTGAATCTGCAAAATTCACCCTGAGGGTGTCAGGAGATGCCACAGCTAGTTCACGAGGATTAGCTGGCGTAGGGATAGCTTTGAGTACTAGGGCAGAAAAGACATTGCTTGACTGGATCCCGGTAGATAGCCGAATGTGTGCTGTCCGCCTGAACGGATCAGTAAGAAGGAGGAAGGACTGCACTACTCGCCGATGCCTTTTCGTAATCTCCGCCTACGCCCCCACTGACTGCAGTTCAGATGAAACGAAGGATGAGTTCTACCAAAAGCTGTCTAGTTTGGTGGGAAAGGCTAAACGCTCAGACATAGTCGTTCTAGCTGGTGACTTTAATGCTCAAGTAGGGAAATTGTGTCAATCTGAGAAGGATGTCGGTGGCACCTATGGAGCTCCGTGCCAGCGAACCGACAACGGTGACCGTCTCCTACAGTTCTGTTCTGATAATCATTTGTTTCTTGTAAGCACTAACTTTAAACACAAGGAGAGACACTGTTTGACTTGGAGACCCCCTTCATCAAACCAACGCTGGACACAAATAGACCACATAGCAATAAGCTATCGTTGGCGTGGGTCGGTAGGAGATTGTCGCTCCTTCTGGAACACGTGCGTAGATACCGACCATGCACTGGTCCGCGCTCGGGTGTGCTTACGACTGAACGGACGTAGGAAACAGCTGGCGGTAAAACCATCACGTCCCCAGCTCGATCAGGAAACTAAATCCGTATTTGAGGAAGAACTAGCTAAACACATATCTGTGTTCGACAGCTGTGCTCACCCTGAAGAAGCTTGGAAAAATATCCAGGCAGCCATAGATACAGCTGTAAAAGCTGTGAATAAGGTAAACCCAAAGGTGAGTAAAAACCACTGGATCTCCACCGCCTCATCCGAACTGATAGATGCTAGAAGACTTATTCCGGCGAGCTCCGAATTCAATGAGGAGCGAAAGCTGCACAAGAGGAAACTTACGAAAAGTCTCCGCAAGGACCGTGAACAGTGGTGGGCGACAAAAGCCAAAGAGATGGAGAAAGCTTGAGGATAGGCAACACCAGGCAACTCTTTGGACTCATCAGGGAAACGGGTGGGAGAAG